ATTATCGTCAGCATCGCTGTTAACTAACTATACACTCATTTCAAATTAACATCCGATGAGGTTACGCAGCTGTCAAAGTTGGATGGCTTGAGACTGGAATTTTGCCCGCCTCGCCTTCCTCATGCAGTTGCCTCGCCTCTCGAGTTGAAATTAGAACGTATCCAAGCATGTGGCTGACTTGCGGTTACATGCTACTTTTCAAATCATGAAACGAATCTGTGGCAGAAATGAAGGCAAATACTGGAAATCACCGGCGTAAACTTCATGTAGATTTGCGAGTATATCTCAATCTGTCTGGTGATTACTTTTCCAAGATGACATAAACATGCAATTGGTAAGTATATATATATAAAGAAAGGTTGAATTTTTGTTAAAGGTACAATAAGTACGTAGCGGCCTACTCGCTAAGCTTTTAGGGAAATGGGCATTTTGCCTTGATGCCAGAATTTATGTGATCTACTGAGCGTACGGAGACGTGCAAGTTCGATGACAATATACTCAATGTAGTGCGGAGACCACGAGCCCGTGCGTACAGGTTTATTATAGTAATTGGAAACATGGTATGAGCATTGCGTGTGTTTTGTAGTTATTCGAGGTTGGGGAGAAGAAGGGGGAGAGGCACGGGATGTTTTCTGAATGAGTCTGCGGTTTTGCAGCTGCCGCCCAACACTGCAGCATCTTACTGTGTTTGAAATGTTTAAAAAAAAAACTATAGCGCATTTACGCAGCTATTAATTAATATGGTTTATTTTTATGACGCTAAAGTTGGTACATGCACGCAAGACTTATAATTGGGGTAAAGAGAAACGAGATTGATTTTTAAGCAAAATATTGTTATTTTGTTGATTTTACTTTGATTTTAATAGCAATTATCAAAAATTGCAGAATGCCGCTTTTAGATTATGTAATTGATTTAAAAAACATAAACTGCTCTTTATTTAGAGAATATCGATAAACTTATCCTATACCTTTGGGCCATATGGCTGCATGGCTGTATTACATTATTGTGATTTCCAAACTTTCATTACTGCATTTCATTATGCTTTAGGGAGCCAAATTCTACCCAGTGGCCAGCTAAAGTGTTATTATATAATTTTCGTTGAATAATCATATATGATATTCTCTGCTATTATTTGAACAACCCTGGTCATACGCTAACCGCCAGCAATACATATATAAATGGATCAAAACGATGTGCACAAAAATACGGCAGTGCGAAATTTCTCTTGGGCCGTTGAGTTTCGTAGTCAGACAGGTATTTTCATCATTAAAACAAGCGATCGTGTAGACCAAGCCCTAGAGGGTACAATGCATTTTTTGCTATATGCGTTTCATGAAGAGAAGGCTAGATATATGCAATGACGTAGGTGATGTAACCTCTGACGTGAGTGCTTCGTCATATCTCGACAAATTCCTTTCATGATCCTACCAAGAGCACATCAATTATACTCTGAACTATAGTATATACAGTGCATGCCTACGTGCTCTTATTCGTATCCAGAATATTAGATCGCAGTGCAGCTGAATGCAGTTAGTGAACTTAGTAAAGGTCGAGGAGCCCACAGAAATGTTTAATCAGTTCCCTCCGGGCATGTTATGGAGTTATGAAAAACAAAACTACCCAGTTGTCATTTGACCTTAGCAAACGAAGATGCTTAATTAAACATATTTTTGTAAATATCTCAAACAGGAAAGGGCATAACGTCGCCCTACATCGGAGCACGTATTCAGTCACCGGCCGCGGGTTAGCTGGTGGTTTCATTGCGAACAGAATTGAAATAACCTTTTACTTATACCTCGAGAGTAGCCGTCAAATAACATTTTAATCCACTAGAGATCTGCAAAACAAAATTGATCGTTAAAACGTTAAAGAAATCATCTAAATATTTTGGATGGTAACTACTAACTACCTACGGTCCAGTGCTTACGGATGCAGACCTATGGTCATATGAAAGGACAAAATTTTACAGTATTCGAGAGCATGTAAACAGTTGTTTATATGTGCTCATAGTTTATGTTGTGTTTATCACAGTTTATGTGCTGTCGTAGTTTGTTCTCTTGATGGAATACTGTTGTACCACCAGTAACGAAAAGCAGATGTGTGGCTTACTACATTTCGTTAGGAGTGGATAAAACAAACAAATGTATTTATTCACTCTTGATTTCATGTTTTTATGGTTGCGTTTGGTCCAGTCTCCCCGGCAGTATGTACTCTACATCGTAGTTGCTTTCATGATAGTGGTATCATCACACATTTGATTAAAAAAAAAGAAGGAATGTAGGCATACAATTTCACATAGATATCATATTTATTAATTCATTACATGTCTTGCTGTAATTTAAAGATGTCATCGAAAAATAATCCATTTGTCCCGATCATACTATACCTATGAGAACTAGTGTTGCATTTTTATGGTTTGGTTTAAAGGCCCCCCCCCCTCTTTAAACCAAACCATAAAAATGACTATTGGGTAAATTTCGATATTGCGATAGTATTGCAATAGTAGTTGAAATACTATTATTGATACTATTGCAGTAACTGAAAAACCATTGTGATACCAATGATATATTATGCAATTTTATATTTGATCGTGTATTGCATCAAGCCTCGTTTTGGTTCACATTATTTACTAGACTTCCACAAGGAAGCGTCCTGACCCCTCTGCTCTTTAATCTATACACAAATGACAAGCCAGTACACACAAACACCAGGAGATTTCTTTATGCAGATGACCTCTGCATTGCTTCACAAAAACAGTCCTTTGACGAAGCCGAACGGTCCATCACCGATGCTCTCGCAAGTCTAACCACCTACTACACAGCAAACCATCTACGAGCCAATCCCGGGAAAACTCAAATAAGTGCCTTCCATCTAAAGACCAAGCAGGCGAACCGCCAACTGAAAGTCAAATGATATGAGAAATTGCTGAAACATACTTATAGCCCAGTCTACCTAGGTGTTACTTTAGACCGCTCTCTAACTTACAAGAATCACATCATCAAGACAAAGGCCAAAGTGGGTGCCAGAAACAGTATTCTAAAGAAATTGGCCACTACTAAATGGGGAACAGACGCCGGGACAATCAGATTCAGAACCACTGCTATCGCCCTGTGCTACTCTGCGGCTGAGTATGCGCAGCCACTCCTATTGCTCCACACGTTAGACGAATGGCTTCATACCAAGTAGAGAAACTTAACAAAGAAAATGACCCTCGCCACCCCCCTCTTCCATCATGAAACAGTAAAGAAGAGACTAAAGTTCAGGGAAAAAATTTTCCACGCGGTTCAACCTCTGGATGGCAACCTCCAAAACTACAGGATTGCCCAATGGTCAAAGCATCTTCAGGCAAGTCAACATAAGCTTTCACTCAGACCCCAGGAATCCCTCCCACTCGGAGCCAACGAGGTATGGCCGACGTGGTTATACCTAAATCGCCTCAGGACAGGGTTTGGTCGATGCAGGGCACTCATGCAGAAATGGGGATACACTAAAGATGGCCCAACCGAATGCGACTGCGGGGAGGACCAGACTATGGGACATCTCCTGAAATGCCCCCTATTACCAGAGCCCTGTAGCCCTGGAGACCTTGTGGAGAGTTCTGTGTGCTGCAGTGGCTAGGCCGAATGTAGTGTAGTGGCCCGAGAAGAAGAAGAATTTACTAGACTGGTACCTTGTCGTTCCACTTGCATACTGTGCAGAGCGAGTGAGATTGTTGAGTAGACCATCTGTGTATGACCGGGGACCAGTCTAATTATTTAAAGCAATGACGGAAGTGTCATTAATGGTTTTCAGGCATGTTTATGTGTAAAGATATCTTTCGTGGCAAAAAAACTACCATGGGCCCATTGGCAACAAAATTTAGAATTGTTTCATTGTCCTATTGGAAAACAAAAAATGAGTCTGAACATTGGTCTCAAACATTACCTTTTTATCGTAGACTATTAAACGAAACATGGTAAAGTTACCAGTGTTTTAAAAGCAGTGTATATAGTCGAGGTCCAGTCTATAAGGAAAAGTTCATGTTAAGACTAATGTTGACACTAGGACAGTGACTCGGTCCCTGGTGTTTAATGTTGCAACTATCGAAAACCATTGATTGTTCAGTGAACTAATAGTTATCGATGCTTTACTTCACCACCGATGCATTGCTATCGAGCCAAACACTATTGAAATTAAGCGTGCGGTTGTCTTTGAGGGAGGAACTTAGGTCACTTTCTCTTGGATTTTCACGATTTTTTTTTATCCATTAGTTACTATAGTATTTTATAACATAATTATATTGATTTAATTGTGTAATAAGGAGTGAATACATATTAAGGAGTGAATAAGGAATTAAGGAGTGTATACATAAACATCAAATGTCTTAATCTTGTACGTGTACTGGCTGGTGGGTGAGTCAGTTAGACCGATGCTCACACATTGCGTTATACACATGCTCACACATAGGCGTAGAAGCGTGTGCTGCGTTTCTATGTCTGTATACATGGACGAAATTGCCCGTGCAACGAAATCAGACAGCCGCAGGTGTTCATCAGAAGTCTGCAGCGTCCATTAATCACGGCAGACAATTTACTACACATGGAAGCCATAGTACACTAATATTGCTTGTTGGACATGCAGTAATGTCTTGTGTGTGTGTCAATGGCAAACTGTATATTGATGTTCTCATCAATCTTAAGCTCAGGTTGTTGTATCAACGGGCGTCTTTTGCATCACCGATATTGATGTGTTTTCTCTGTTAATATATAGTGGGTTGATATAACTAGCGCGCAGTATTCCGTGTGCTGTCTGGTAATTAGGAATTACATATTTATGCAATGACTGGCTGGTGGTTATTACTAAACAGATATTTCCGCGTCCCTGCTGTGTTGATTATATGCAATTGTGTCCACGTACGTTACTGCAAATGTGAGTCAAAATGAGTTAATGCTATATGGGTATCAACATCAGTACACGTTTATTTCGTAATTGGCCAAAGATATTGTTGTGTTTTTTTCAGTCACTGGACCAAGACCGACAAGGTCTTTCGAAGATGAAAAAGGGGATTAAGTCAATTTGCAACACAGGAAGCAGTAAGTATTATGCTGGGGCTGAATAGGCATTCAAAGCTGTAAACGATACCGGACCAGTCGACAGATTAATTGTTGTTGACTGCGTGATTTCGTGTGGCAGAATTGTGGCATTTTTACCATTAATCGTTAACTGTCATTCATTTCACTCAATCATGCAGATTAAGCTTGTGTAATGGTAGTTTTATGGAAATAGTGATTCAGCTTCGATCTGCACGTTTTCTCTGTGAGAAGCTCAATAAATGCTGTTAAAATGGACGCAAGGTTTGGCACAAAAGTAAGCTTTGCATGGTTGTCCTAAAGAGATTTGATAAATATATTTCTGAAATGTGTGTACGCACGCACAAAAAGTGATGAAACTGTTTCCGTCATAACGTTGTGCATCTAAAACGACAGTAATTATTTGTAAATTGGAGAAAATTACCATTTTTAAATTCTTCTGCCCACAATTGCATTGGTGAATCGAAAACATAGTAGACAATGAGACATAGCAACGGCTAGCGTTTGAGATGCGTGAAAGAAAGCAGCACCGCGCATTAATCTATGTGCGGGATATGTTTCAGCGTATGTACAGAATGAATCATACCTAGTTGAGACACTCAGCAGACTAGGAGAAAATGTCTTCCCAAGTCCGTTTGACTGTGAAGTCGGTAAGCAAGTATTATCTATATGCACAGACTGGAGCCCAGCTATAGCCGGGTGAATTATTGCTTGGTACTATCCGTGAAGAACTTTGCCGTATGTTATACGTGCATGTTCAATAAATAAACACGTGCCCATGCTTTTTATCAGCTTCTCAGCAGTGCCTTTCGTCTCCTTATGTGTCTCCTTCACCTTCTCAGCAGTCGTTAGGTGTGGGCCATGCAGCATCAGTATTCTAGGTACACACTGCGTATACATTCAGTATAGTTAACACAACGTGTGCGTCTTTACGTTTGTAGCTGATCTTCAGCGAGTGTAAGGGGCAGCATAGCACGTTTGAAAGGCAGGAACTAGGCTTAATTAACAAGAGTGATCTAGAATTTAATAAATTTGCATGTTTGTAGGTTCGAAGGCTTTCCTGTGTGCAGGAACAGGGCAGTGGTGTACCATTGACAATTTTGTAAACGAATGCTCTTGCTAAGCATGAACTTGTTAATTGTGACCAGTTGGACCTGAAAGCAAGCAGTTTACATTTATGTGTGTATATTGCAATTGGTATAACTGTATTAACACGTCGTGTATATCTTTTGTCATTAAGATTTGCGTGTGGGCAAAACGTCTTTAGCGTTGTGTACAGTGACGTGATTCATGCGGTGTGTATAGCGCTATTTCCAGGCATCTACAAACAGATATCCAATATTGTACAGTTTTTGCTATAACTTGCAAACACCCGTCCATGGGTTTTTGCTAAGCACTGTCTTCATTTTGCTTCTAGGATAGAAGGGATCTATAAGTGAACTGCAGCTAGAAATGCTCTTAACCATTGCAAGCAATGTTTCATTTTTCGTTCTCATATTAGAGGAAGTCACTGGGGAGGATGCATGGATTGGGTTGGGTTAGGGCTGGAAGCAAGTAGACAGAATAAAGTGACGGGGGGGAGGAGGGGGCTGCCCCGATGCAACTCCGCCTACGAGGGTGCATAGTCGTAGTGCGTGCGCATCATACAGCTTTTTTAACGTGGTGTCTGTCTGAAGCTCAGGTTAGAAGATTGTGTACGCCATAGTGAATGCAAACGGGATTTCGCTTGCCTCGCAAGAGATGCAGTCTTGAGTACGATCAGTGCAGACATTTTGCGCAGCTTAGCGAAAATGCATTTGGCTGCATGGCGTGTGGTTAGTTACACTGACACTCGTAACGTCTAGTTTATTAGAGGAATAAGTTCATCTTTAGGGGTCTTATGGCGCATAAAATACTTTCAAACTGCATCAGTGTTCATCTAAACTTCTTCTGGGAGGAGGATGGGACAATAAAATAAGGGGGTGCATTCTAGTTACGAGCAACGTGGGATTCAAACACTATACACACCAGATGACACACGCAACTGTAGATTTCTAAATATTGCTGACTAGCACATGTTAGTAAAGAGCTAGAAGCTGCGTGAGCTTTCGTGGTCGAGGAAAATTTGAGAGTAAAAAAAAATCAGATTATGTTACTCGCTACATTCTCTGATGAGGCCGCTCGTAAACGATTTCTTGTTTCTTGCAATCCGTCCTAGAAATCGTGTCGTTTGAATTATATATTTAACCAGGTCTTTGTTTTTCACTCAGTTTACTATACCAGTGTCCGACTATGCGGCATGTGCAGTAGACTGCAGAAGAATAACCGTGAAATGCAGCATCAGGTTACTGTAAACAAGTAGTTATCTTCGAGTGGCCTGCCGCAAGGTGCAGTGCTCTCGGTTTAATATCTAGTTACTGGCCGCGCGTCGCTGTGTCTCCGGTTCCAGCAATATGAATCGTAGGACACTCGGTCGTCCCGCCTAGACTGACTCCTGTGCATGCTGAGACGCGTCATGTTGATTCCGAACGTCTTATGGAGCCGATCTAAGTCTTGCGCGTAGGTGCCGCCATTAATGACCACGGAACGTCTTCACATAACTCATAACGCCTACTGTGTTTCTCGTCCTTTATTTCAATCGGTCGTGCAATAAGGGAGTGTAATGCGCTCGTCAATATAGATATTATATACGATCGTCACGATGGTCTGCCATTTCCGCGTCCTTCCGCTCTTCGATTTAATCCGCTCGCTATGACCAAACCAATACTCTGAAAGCACTCAGCGAGTCAGAGTGGGCTGAAACAATCCCGCTAGCGCTCATCCTGCGTGTAATTATGGTAGAGGCATGTGTATTTGCGTATATTGAAATCTCGCGCAAAGATCCCCGTCGGGTGTGATGTTGTGCGTATTCCCTTAGGTGACTACGGGTATCGGCAAGAGTAAGATAATAACCCATGGGTTATTATCTTACTCTTGGTCTCGGTCATTCTGCTTCTGTCTGATAGGGTCTGTCTGATAGGGTCTGATAGGGTCGGTCATTCTGATAGGGTCTATGTCCCCCAGGGTACTGTCGGAACGTACCCTGGTACTAAATACTACTATCTAATATGCCGGACCGTATCTCGCCTACTGCACTAACGAGTCTAGGGAGTCGTCTACGCCTACTCCCTAACCCTAACCCTAACCCTAACTCTAACCCTAACCCTAACCCTAACACTAACCCTAACCCTAACCCTAACCCTAACTCTAACCCTAACCCTAACCCTAACACTAACCCTAACCCTAACACTAACCCTAACCATAACCATATCAGCTATAGATAGTTACCAGGGTACGTTCCGGCAGTACCCTAGAGGACATAGACCCTATTAGCGTTACGGCCATCATCATGCTATGCTTCATCTTGCTGTTGGTATCTATTCCTGTCGACAAATGGGTAGAAATCTGGCAACGCGATCTAATTCCCAACCACATGCAGCAGGACAGGTAGTACGAAGGAGAGTGAGAGTGAGCGAGAGAGAAGGAGGACTAGAAAGTTGCATGATGATGCTACTGGCATTGGTTTGTGCCCGCTACAGGTTGACTGCGTTAGTATGGGGTGATCGAGGCTTGCGTTGGTTGCCAGGGTGTGACAACGGACAGTATATCTGCTGTTGGTGGCGTGTGACAACGGACAGTATGTCATCTGTTGGTGACGTGTGACAACCGACAGTATGTCTGCTGTTGGTAGCGTGTGACAACCGACAGTATGTCTGCTGTTGGTGACGTGTGACAACGGGCAGTATGTCTGCTGTTGGTGACGTGTGACAACGGGCAGTATGTCTGCTGTTGGTGACGTGTGACAACGGGCAGTATGTCTGCTGTTGGTGACGTGTGACAACGGGCAGTATGTCATCTGTTGGTGGCGTGTGACAACGGGCAGTCTGTCATCTGTTGGTGGCGTGTGACAACGGGCAGTATGTGTGCTGTTGGTGGCGTGTGACAACGGGCAGTATGTCTGCTGTTGGTGACGTGTGACAACGGACAGTATGTCTGCTGTTGGTGACGTGTGACAACGGGCAGTATATCTGCTGTTGGTGGCGTGTGACAACAGGCATTATGTCATCTGTTGGTGGCGTGTGACAACGGACAGGGTGTGTGCTGTTGGTAGCGTGTGACAACGGGCAGTATGTCTGCTGTTGGTGGCGTGTGACAACGGACAGGGTGTGTGCTGTTGGTAGCGTGTGACAACGGGCAGTATGTCTGCTGTTGGTGACGTGTGACAACGGGCAGTATGTCTGCTGTTGGTGGCGTGTGACAACAGGCAGTATGTCTGCTGTTGGTGGCGTGTGACAACGGGCAGTATGTCTGCTGTTGGTGGCGTGTGACAACGGGCAGTATGTCTGCTGTTGGTGGCGTGTGACAACGGGCAGTATGTCTGCTGTTGGTGGCGTGTGACAACGGACAGGGTGTGTGCTGTTGGTGGCGTTTACTGATCGTGACATCAAGCGCTCACATCGTCGCCCTGTCTACTGTAACGGCTGGTGAGATCCGAACAAACGCGCCTTTCCCACGTAATTTGGCAATCACCGGGGTTAAGGGGGTGGTGACCCTTCGATTTCACTGCATCAAAACTCTGTATAGCTCAGGTAAACTGTTTTACAGGTTAAACATAATTCGAATATACTTGTGTATGGAAGAATTCATAACTGGTGTAATTCGCCCTAAACCTAACACCAGTTCCTATATTAACAATTCATAACTTTAACGCTAATCCCAAATCCTAACCCTAACTCAACCCCTAACCCATTTCGGGAAACGGTAACTTGTATATGCGAGATGTCGCAAAACCCGTTCGCGTAGTCACTATTAAACAAAACCCGTTCGCGTAGTCACTATTAAACAAAACCCGTTCGCGTAGTCACTATTAAACAAAACGCGTTCGCGTAGTCACTATTCTATTAAAGTAGTATAAAATTAAAT